CAAAGACATAGGAACTGTAAAGGACAGTTATATTTTTGTTTGGTTGATTTGTGTTGCTGTCTTGCATCCGTTTCCCCTCTCTACAAGCATCCTGATTTCCTAGTTCCCAGTGTGTATCATCTTGATGGTCCAGTAACTCCAGATTCCTGTCTCCAACTACAGAAGCCAGAGAGGTGAATAGAACCTACTTGTCCTGCTGTGATAAAACCAGGAGGCAAGCAAGTAACCTGAGCATGGCCAACACAATGCTCTCCCCTAGGACTTAGAGTAAGTGAAGCAAGGATGGAAAGAACACTAGAAATAACCTCCATAAAAGGCAGGAATTAAAAGGAAAGAACTTCTCAAGTGCAATGAAATCACTCAGTGAACTGTGGAACTGTTCTATCCACTTCTTTTTGCTGTTATTTTTCTTTTTGTTGTTCTATCCACTTCTATAATTCTTTCTTATTTCTCTTCTAAAGCCTTTCCATAGCTCCTCTCACACCTGTCCCACATTTTATTTTACTGCCATCTAGACTTCAGGCATTCTCTACCTGTTTAGTGCCACCATATTATATATTTAGATTATTAAATATTCCCTTTTGACCCATCCAGCCCTCAAGCCCTTGTCAGGTTCAGAACCTAAGCTGATTCCTCTTTCTTTTGAAATTCTAAGCAGTTGTAGGTTCTCTGCCCCTTTCCCTTTTCAATACCATAATTAAGAATTTCCCTTTCTGAGGAGGCTAATTATCATCAGGTCAGGGCATAGCTGGGAATGAGCAAAGAGGATGAGCTGGGATCAGAAAAGCAGTCTATACACACAAAGCATAAGTTCTGGGCAAGATGGAACAGAAGACAGGTGACCAAAAATAATCACACATATTCTTACTAATGCTTTTTTTTTAAGCATCTAAAAGGTGGAAATGTATTGATATTTGCTTATAGAATGATAATTTGTGCTCATTTCAATAGCACTGTAGGGGAAATATTTAATTACTCTTTTACTTAAGTAATCACATTGGCAGATGAAATAAATTTCCTTTTTTAAAAATATTAATAAGAAACATGGTGTTCTATAGTATCTAGAAGTTTCTAAATTCATATATTTCAAATATTCTTCTTCATTCACAGACTGTAAAATTGCACATTTCATTTGCAATTGAAACCTTTTTTGGAGGCTCTCCCAAGGCAGGCAAACAGGATGGGTTTGAGTAGAGATGCAGCAAATAATTATTTTTTAATGTTGACTATGTTCCAGAAGAAAGATGGTATAACTCCTACCCATGTAAAGTCTGGCTGGTTTTGTCAGGATGATACTAAATCATTTCTGGATTTTCCATCTAAAGCTTCTTCTTTTTGTTCCTTCCACTCTGCTCTACTTTTGGGTTATAAAATTTTAGCTCTCTCCATTTTCCAGAATCAGGTCAACTAACTATCACTCATGACAATTACTACCTCCCATGCCTACTCTCATCTCTAAGATATGGGAATAAGCCCATAGTAGTAGCTCTCAACCCCAGCTGTCCATCCAAATGCCTCATAGAAGATTTGGAATATAGACCTGCCCAAGAGCGATCCCAGAGGTTATAACTGCCAAAGGATCCCTGGCTCCCCAGATAATTCTGATAGATAACCAGGGTTAAGAAACACTAACACAGGAACATAAATTCTAGTTTTAAGGATATGTCAGAATGCTAAATCAACATACATTTACCTAAGCAATTATGCTCTCCTTATAGAAACTCATACATACAAAACCAACATCAAGGTAGTTGGCGTTTGGAATAGGCCTTTTTTGAAATCATGGAGAAGTTACTAATTCCTGGTACATAGAAGAATTCACTTTGCCTATCTTCAGGAATACCCTTTGTATCCAGACATTTTTTAATATCATGGAAATGATGTTAGGGGTGCCTGGGTGGCTCAGTCTGTTAAGCATCCGACTCTTGATTTCAGCTCAGGTCCTGATCTCAGGGTCATCAGGTGGAGCCCTGTGTGGAGCTCCACATTCAGCAGGCAGTCTGCTTTTCTCCCTCTCCCTCTCTCTCTCTGCCCCTCCCCAAGCTCACACGTACTCTCTCTCTCAAATAAATAATTTTTTTAAAAAAGAAAGAAATTATGTTAGAAATAACAAGTACAATTGTGACTCTGTTGGGAATATTATATTGTGGGTCAATATTGGTGAAGCAGCATTTTGGGCCTGAGAACGTTATAGTTCTCTAAGAGTTCTGAGTTCCTCAAATTGTACCACGGAGATTTTCACGGCTGAACTTCCGGGTCTAATTAGCTACAATCACAGTGCTCAGTACCAGCCACCAGCCACGTATGCCTATGGAGCACGTGAAATTAAGAAATTAATTTCTGTCAATGTAAAATACACACAGATTTCAAAGACTTCGTACCCTCCTCCAAAAGTAAAATATTTTTACATTTTTATGTTGAGTATAAGCCAAAATAATAATATTTGTAGATATTGTTTTAAATAAAATGTATTATTAAAATTAATTCACTAGTTTCTTTTTTAATTTGACCAATGTGGGCTATTAGAAAATGTCCAGTTACATATGTGGCTCACATTATATTTCTATTGGGTAACACCTACCTATATTCACTTCCACCCTAACACTTATCACAAGTGTCATTCTTTCCATAGGCCTCATCTTATCCTCTCTCACCAACACCTGATCTACCTAAATGTAATTATTCTCCATGACTTGCTTTATTCAACTTCTAAGCCAAGCCATCAAATGGTACTCCACCTCTGAATATTCATCAAAAAAATTAAAATTCAAGGTTTCCACATAGACTTCTTATTTTCTGGGATCACAGATAAGAATTCCTACTGAAAAAAAAAAAAAAAAAAAAAAGAACACCTCTGTTGAATATAAATTTGTTAAAAAAAAAGCCTGCTCCAGACTCCATTTGGGCTAAGAGATGCACCTCTCTCCTCAGGGTCTAACAGTGAAATACCCTAGCTCCATAAGAAAGAATAATTTCCCAGCAAGGGAACCAAAGACCTGAAAAATGTCTTTGGGCGGAAGATACCAGATTTCCTTCAGAGTCCAGAGTTAAACAAGAAGTCAGATAAATGCCAAGGAGGCCCTAACCCTCCTTCATGCTGCTGAGCATCTGCCACTCTACTATCATTTTCTTTGCCAGCTTGGGAGGTTGCTGATCCTGAAGGTCTGACCCGGCTCTAGAGTCTTCCTTCTGGATATGTCAGCAAACTCTCTAGATGTTATCCTGATATTCCTTCACAATGCCCCATCCCTAGATGCAGTGACATCTCCCATAAAAAAGAGGGAAGCTATAGGGCAGAGGGGTGAGATGTGTAGATCATAACGTCAAAGAAGACTTGGTTTCAATCCCTTACTCTACCATGTATTCTCTTTCTTACTTTAGTCAAGTTGAAACGTTGATTTCCTCATCTATAAAATGAGAGTAATAAAATATACTTGGTGTAGATTCTGCCAGCTGACTCCAACATACATTCGCAAACCCCGCAATTGCAGTTGGAAACTTGACGCCCAAGTAACAACATTTTCCAGTCTCTCTTGCATATGGATGTGGCCATAGGACTAGAGTCCAGCAAGAAGATTATAAACAGAAATGGTATATGTAACTACATGTATGTGGCTTCTGCTTCCCTCCCAGCACTTGGAACATGGAGGTGATATCAAGTCATCTTGGACCATGCAGATGGGAACAAGCTTAGGGATTACAAAGCAATCAAATAGAAAGTACTAGAGCAAATATAAACCTCTGTTATTGTGGCTTTTATCGCATTAGCTGAATATGTATCCTAATATGGTGCTCTAAGGCAGTGTGAAATGTAAGAACATAGTGCACATAAAATGCTTAGTACAGTGACTAGCTGATAATAAGCACTCACAAATGGCAACTTTTATTATTCTTAGTGATAGCCCTACATCCTGTCACTTTTTTGCAGACTTACAGAAAAACACACACAGACACATGCAAAGAGAAAGAGCCAAGCTAAACCCACTGATTAGAACGTGCATGGTACGACGTGGCATGCAGAAATCGAGAGGCTGGTAGAATTTCCCCTGAGCCTTAGGAATCAAAATTTATACAGCAAATGCTCTGTACACCATGCTAACCTACTGGGATCTGGACCGCCTGCTCTGTACAGGTAGAAATCATGATGAGGCTGCTAAGCGGGACCAGCAGAGAACACATCTGTTCCAGCTCATGCATCATTACTTCAGCCAGCCCCCTCTCAAAAAGCTATCTGGCCATTAAATTCTGATGTCTTTCGTCTTGTTCAGTGATGAAGATAAGAGCAAGGACAGCAAGTTTTAATGACTTCTTTCTTGATAGGTATAGAATAAATAATCTTTCCCTCTTGGAAGCACAGGGGCGCAAGCTTGGGAGAAGAGCTGTCTCTCTCCAGAAGAGGAACCAGCCATCTTGTATCAACCCAAGGCTAAGTACCTACGCATTCCCCTTGCTTAGGTAGAATCCTTTCAATAGTTAACTACTGGAAATCGCCCTATAACGGAAAATGAAAGAAACAATTACTGAATGTGAATTTCTGCACATAAATTCTAACTAGTATGGTATGTTCCCAGCATAGTTGTCTAAACCTCTAGAGAAACTGTCCTCTTCTGAAGGCAGGGGGCATCAATATCTAAGGCCCCCGAGCGAGGTGCAAGCATAGTTTACAAATAAACAGGCACCGTG